CCCCCCCCCGGGACCCCCCTGCCACCACCCCTACCCTTAAAGGAGGATCGGGCCCCTCCCGCCTAAATAGTACGCGCATCAGCCCAAAGAAGCCGCCCCCGCCGCCGCCCCCTCCCTCCTACCTGCGGGCCGGCCCCATCCTTTCCTCCCGCCTGGGAGAAGCGACTTCCGCGCCCCAGCCTGAGTCCTCGCTTGACCCCGGATGTTGTTATCCCCGTTCCCCAGCTGCTTCCGGGTCAGGATCGGGAGGCCCCCGCCCCTAGCCGGCTCTTCCGCACGGGCGGGCGGGGCGCTGCAGGGTCTCCGCGTGGCCGCTAGGGGCGCCCGAGGGAAAGGAAAAGGCTTGGGGGGGAGAACGGCTCCGGGCAGCCCCTAAAAGAAACCCGGAGGGTGGGGCGACCTCGAGAAACGTCCCCCTAACAGGCAAGCCCTAGAGCCCCACAAGCCCCCTCCCCTGAAGGCCAGGCACCCCTTCTTGTCCCTAGGGAGCTTTGCCCCATGACTGGCCTGCCCTTTGGGTTCAGGGCTGGCCTCTTTCAAGACCCTCGGAAAGCCCCAAAGGTTGCTGTTGCTGCTCCTTCCTCTAATACATAACCAGGAAATGGGACATGTAGTGGCTTGGTTTACACAGGCCAGCATCCCCATCTGGTCGGGGGGGAGGGGGGTAGCAGCACCAAATCCTTGCCTCTTTTGTTCCCCCCACCAGACCAACTTCATATGCTCGTGTTTGTAACTCAGAAGCCCGTTACAGTTGCTGGGGTGGTGGTGGTTGTCATCCCACAACCAGCGAAACCTTCAGTCCTCTTGCCTTCACCTGAACCTCCACTGAAGCACTCTGCTTTCCCTCCCCTCCACTGAATCGTCAGCCACACGGAGAAAACATACGAAAATGAATATTCTTTATTGACAAGTCTTTTGCCTTCTGCAGGCATCCACTTCAAAACAATAAAAGCAGATTGGTCTAAACATAATTTGTTTTTAGGTCCCAACAACCTCAGTGTAAAGCAATGTTATAGAGACCGTACTTCTTTTTAAATACTGCACTCCAGTGCCTGCTAAATGAAGCAAAGAGCCATAAAAACACAATTTAAAAGCTACAGGAAGTAGTAAGGAAGAAAAACTATTTCAGAAAAGACGTTTGTATAATAAATGGAAAAGTTATTTACAGAAAAATATCTACAAATGGTCCTAAGTGCAGAAGTGCTAGTTCCATGCACCAAAGACTGAAAACTGGAACAGAAGCTGACTTTCATCTTTCACAAAATCATCATTTCCCAGGCTCAAAATCTTTTAAGATTCTTCTTGATCTTCAATCTTTGGAGCCAAATAATATTTCAAGTGTCCCATGTCTGCAATCTTGTATTCCACAACTGCAAAAGACAAAAAAACAAGGCAATTAATCATAACAGGTCTGAAATTATCAATTTCACCCCATGCATAACTTGCAGAAATAGTATTGCAAGGAAACTTTGAATGCTGCACTCACCAAGTGGAATGTCTGCAGACATACTGAGCGTCACCGTAGGAGACAGAGGTGTAGCTTTGATAAAGAAGTTCAGGTATCTCAAGGCAAAAGTCAGCTGGACTGGCTCATTCATCTCTATTACTACCTGTAACAGATTAAATGTATACATTCATTCTGTTGAGTTCAACTACAGCAGAAATTGTACTAAATGCTTTAATTTCTTATCTCCAAGGTTTAGGCTTTTCCATAAGACAGGCTCAGTTAGCTGTCTGCCAAAGGATTGTCAAATGCACAGAAACAATGCAATTTAAGTCTTCACTTAATTCCCTCGACTTACAGCTTCTTCCTCTTTGTCCACATCACTGGTTTGTGACAGTTTGATGTTTCCATTTCCAAGCTCCCCAGTAGCAGAAAACTTAACACCATCTTTTGTGCAGGAGATTACAACAGCATCTCCGATATGGCTAAGGTCTCGGCAGATGCGCGCAAACTCCCCAGAAGGCATTTTCACAACACAGCTGTACTCCTGTTCCTGAAAGATCAACAGAAAACTTTGTTGTAAGTCCTAAATCTGACCAAATTTACAGAAAGCACCCCCTGAAGGACTAATCCAGAGTACTTTGTGGGATGTTATTATTGCATTGACACTCGAACATGACCAGCTTCAAAAATCAATAGTAAAACAGAATAGAAATCAACAGTTTGCTTCATTCAGAAATAAAATCTACTGTAATTTTTATACTCCCATTCAATCTCTAAATTTAGTCTTCCAGAAGTAGAAATAACATTAACTGCCACACATACTTGCTTTAAAAAAGTCACTGTGGTTCTGCAGAATGGATTTTTTTCATGTAACACCTAATTTTTACAACACAAACTGTCCTATTCAGTTTGTTTAATCACAGTAACAGATACTAAACTACACTTACTGGAATTCCAAGTTGTTCTACATCCAAATCCATTAACTTCATTTCATAATCAGAGACTTTCTCCTGATCTAAATAAAAAATAAAACAAGAAGTTCATGTTTATGATACCTCTTTACAGTCTAAAGTCTTGTCACAAAGCACAAGGTTATGAAAGGGGAATCTGGGTGATGCCCCTCCCCAAAGCTCCACCCGCTCGAAACTGGGCAGGACAAGCTACACAGAGGTGATCTGCTCTGAGGGAGGTGGGAAAAACCACCACCACGTCCCTCTAGACAGCAGCATTCCCAGAGTACTTCAAATACTTACTTGGTGTCTCAAACACTAGAACCAGAGTATCTGCATTGTCTTCTGCTCTCAGAGTAATTATGTCTTCGTTACTCGCACACTTAAGTACTTTGGACAGACTGAAAAAGAAAAAAGTACAAGGCCCGTTGACTACATGTTCTCCAGATGCTATCTGCTATTAAGTCTTATAGTGACCCTACGTTAAGTGAGATATATAAGAAGTGGTTTTAGTAGTACCCCAAACACATTCATATAGGAGTGAGTTTCTATAGGAGAGCCGAAATTCAAACCCAGGTCCCATGAATCCTAGTCTTGACACTCTGTCCCCTATACCAGTGGTCCATGCATGTGTTGGAGGGGCTGTGCATGCATCTGCACGTACAGGAGGGGGCAAATTTGTCTCCACAGACTGGGGGTTGGGGATCTCTGCCCTATACCACACTATACAAATAATGCACCAATATTGCAGCAAGCAGCAAAGGCTCTCTTAGTAAAAAAAGGAAACAAAGTTAGTAATTTCCTTCCGCCATCACAACAGCAAGCAGCATATCAGAAAAAGAGGGTGATCATGTAATTCAGTACCCACCTAAATTAGAAATTTGAAAATTCTCTCAAAACTGATAGAGGCAAAAAGATGCTACCTAGAACAAAGCCCTTAGCTAAAAATATAGCATCACAGAATAATGAAAGTGGAAGCTCCTTAATGCAGGAATACAGATCAATGGATATCTGCCAGGTGGTTGTCTCCTTAAAGAGGAGACCACCTAAGCAAAGCAGAGCCCCTCCTTTTCCTCTCATGCCGTTCACCCCTGCAGAGATTACTAAAGAAATGTCTTTCAACATCAGAAGACTCCCCTGAGAGATCACAGCATCCTAAATAAGAGACCAGTGACTGGTCATGATCCTGATCTTATCGTTCACCCATAACACTATGCAAACTGAGCTGAAATGAATTTAACCCCACTCAATCTACTCAGAACTGAATTATGATGGAGCAACTCCTGTGACAATGGAAGGAGAGAAAAGCCGCTGCAATGGTTTTAACAGCAACCTGAGACAGAGCGAAACACAAAACAAAACCGAGCAGCCCTTTTGTAAAGCCAAGGCGATTACAAATGCCACCAGACCCTGTTGTTTTTGTGGCAACAGACTCAATAAGGATTCCCAAGGGAAGTTGTCAAAGGGACTGCAGCAAAAACAAGGCTTTATGGCTTACGCTCCCTCCACCTAACAGACCACAAGGATGCTTGAGGGAACGGCTCTTCGGAGAGGGAGCCATGTAGCTCTAGCACTCGCCCCTTCATCGGCAGGTCCTCCAGTTCAATTGCAGAGCTAAGGCATGTTGCTTTTTGGGATGGTAGGGGATTCTGGGAGTTGTAGTCCAGGCCTCCCTTTCCCAAGCGGCGTGTCAAAGGCAGGAAGGGGATCAAGTGGGGGGGAGAGATCCTGGAGACAGCCCCCCCCCGCCATAAGCAGCCCTTGCATTCCTGCACCGCTAAACGCCCCATGCTTTTCCTCCAACAAAGGCAACCAGGGCCAGCGTGGGCCCGTCCTGCGCGCGCAACAGAGCGAAGCCACGCCCAACCAGCCAAAAGGCCGGCCAATCAGGAAGGAGGATAAGGAGCAAGAGCCAATCGGCTCACCCGAAGGAGCGCGCGCGGGTGAAAAGCACTCCTAACAGGCGCCGGGCGGTCCTTTTTCTTGTTCCCCCCCATGAGCGCGTCGCTTTAGGCGACACGTCACCACAGAGCGCCGGCCGAGACGCGTCCTGCGCAGGCGCAGTGGCCCCACTCCCAAAAAACGGCGCGAGCCAGGCGGCCGGCTCCCCGCCTCCTCCGGGCTCGGGGGCAAAAGGTGCCCGCAGCTTTTTCTTCTTCAATCTCCCGCCCAATATGGTGACGAGCAGCCATTGGGTGACGAGCAGCCCCCTCACAGGCAGCCGCCGCCCCGCGCCCCCCCTCACGGGGGGAGAGAGGAGCGAAAGCGTCTCCTCAGGGCGCCGGGGTTGCCCTTTGTTTCTCCTCAGGAGGGAAAGTCCTGTCAGAAGCGGCAATAAGGGTCTCTTCCCCCCCCGCGCGCTCTTCCCGCCTTGCTTCCCTCCCAACCCCTGCCCCGCCGCCCGCCTACCTCACGATGTTGACCCCCATGGCGATGTTGCGGTCGCAGCGGTAGGTGTCGAAGCCCTCGGAGCGCATCGTGAGCTGCACCAGCGAGACGTGCGAGGAGTCCATGCTCTGCAGGCTGATGCCCCCCGAGCCCAGTTCCCAGCAGGCCTCGGTGATGAAGTCCTTGAGGGCGTCCACCACTTTCTTCAGCAGCGAGCCCTGGATCAGCCGGGCCTCGAACATCCTGCCGGCTCGGGAGGCCGAAGAAAGGCGGAGGCGAGGAGGAGGGGGGCTGCAAACAAAAAGCGGCGCAATACAAAACGGAATCCACCTGCTCCGAACGCGCGGGAGGCCAGACTCGTTGCGCGCCCTCCCGCTCGCTTTTATACTACCCTCGAGCTGGCCCCGCCTTCTCTCGTTTCGCTCCGCCCGTTTGCTACCCTGAGCCAATCGCGAGCTTTCAAAGGGAAAGGAGAAATACGGTCCAGGTACGCATGCGCACGTCTTCACCTTTCTCCTCCCCCCCTCCCGCTTGGCCAACCGAATAGCGGCTTCTAATTTCCCCGCGAAAAAGAATCCCTACTTGACGTCACTGTAGCTTGAGCCAATGGGAGCTCATCATGGCCTCTCGCTCTCTCCTGGAAGGGGTTTGCTCCTCAGAAGCGACCAATCAGAATGAAGGGGTGGCTTTCGGTCTTTCCCCGCCCCTTGGCTGTGATGCTGAGCCCGGAAGCTTCGTGGAGGGTTCTGCCAGGGCTTGTCCTTTCCTCGCCGCTCTTTGAGCTTCACAACAACCCGGGCAGGTGGGTCGGGTCCAGGTTCACCCCGTGAGTCTCATGGTTGGGACAGGCGGTGAGCCCGGGTCTCCTCTCTCCAACACCAAGAGTCACTACGTGATATGAACTGCATATAATAAATGATTACTGTAGTTGCATTGTATAAATAACTGTAGCTGTAAAATATACAAAACAGAAACACAAACAAACAAAAACAGCAAGAGACAAAAAGCGTGGCGCCTTAAAAACTCAGTGCTGCCTTTTAAGGTGAGCTTTACAGGATGACCTGTATTAAAATATCAGGCAAAATCCTATTTTTTTTAAAAAAACACGACCTCGTGACAACAAAAAGACTATTATATTTTAATGTCCGTTTTCGTGGGTCAGGTCCATTTCTTCACACATAGGGAATAAAACAGAAGAGAGACTTCACAATTACAGTAAAACATTCAAAACATTCATGGGCTTTAAGGGGCCACAAGGTTTTTTCTCTCAATTTTTATTTTTAATGTTTGTCCCTTTTTTTTTTCCTTTCGACTTTGCCTGATATGTTTGCACACATTAACATGGCTACCCATTATAAAACTGCTCCTATTCCAACATAGGAGTTAGTCTTCCTGCAAAAGAGCAGCAGCACCATTGATGCGGGAAACGACCTTCCGAACTGTTGGTGACCTAGATAGCCTGCCAGCAGGTAGCATTATCAGCTACAGGTAATGCAAAACGTCTGTCCGCTAATAGAGGAAATGAGGGAGCACTGAGCAGGGGGCAGGACTCCATGGCCTTAGTGGTCCCTTTCGAATTCCATCTAGCCACCTGTAACTGACTACCTAGTAGGTACCTACCTGTGTGTGATTTTTTTAGATGGATTGCTATGCATTACAGCTTCGACTGGATTTTTAGGACACCTGCTTTTTTCCATATTTGTGTTTTCCAGTTCTCATAGTAGCATTGTTTTGAAAATATTTGTATTGTTCTTAGCGTTTGTATTGCCTTTTAATGACTTCAAGATGCCTCTTTATATTCATTGTTCTTAGTTGTAAATATTGTCTTCTAATGATGTTAATGACCGTCGTATACTCAATGTTTTCAGCTCTAAATATTGTTGTCTTCTAATGATGTTAATGACCGTCGTATGCTCAATGTTTTCAGCTCTAAATCTTGGGTCCTTTTCAAGGAGAAAAGGGGGGGGTAATAAATAGATAATTAAATAAATAGCCATTTGCACTACAACTCCCATAATCCCCCAGCCAGAGATACTGGGATTTGTAGTCCAAAACGTAATTTCCGTCGCTTTGAGGCTGTACATAGCAAAAAAAGCCGTTGCTACCCAGGAGAGCGTCACGCACATCCGGGTATCGAAGCAGGGGAAAAAAAGAGGAGGGACGTAGCTGGGGGGGGGGAACACAGTCCCGTAAGTAGAAAGGCAGGGATACCATAGACCTTGAAAATGAAGAGTGATGCACAAGACTTAAAATCGAGATTAATTTGGGAAGTGGTGACTCATATATTCCAGACAGATCTTGCAAACTGTATGTCGTAGTTTCGTTCCGTAAATAAATCTTAGGAATATACGTTTTACAACAACATTTCTTTAGTGGTATTTTTTTTAAAGTGCCAAAATTAACCCAGAAGTTGCACCTTCGTGTTTTTTTCTACAGATTTCCTATCTCTACGAGTGTGAGGTCTAGTGTAATGGAGAACTCAGTGGTTTCCACATCAGAGGTTGGGAGTTTGCCGGGAGGCGGAGGGGCAGCCGGACTCGGAGGGAAAGGTCAGGAGCGGGCGGCGGCTGCCCGGGATGCGCGCATATGGGGCGGGGGGTGGGTGGGTGGCGGTTCGCGAACGTCTGCATGCGGCAATGACGCGCGTTTCGGAGGGTCGAGAGAGGGGCATCTCGCCTTGCGGCCAGGATGTTGTGGCTGGATTGGGGCGAAGTCCCCCTCCTCTCCTGCCCAGCTTCCCTGGATCGGGGAATCCCTGGCAAAGCGGATGCTTGGGATCCCCGGAAGGCTTCCGAAGTAGCCTCTGCAGCGGCTGGGAAGGTGTGTGCAAACAGGCAGCGGCGGGAGGTTCTCAGGGAGCCCCTAAGTGCCAGCTTGCAAACGCCCAGCCTTTCTCGAGCCTTCTGGCAAAACTTTCCCTGGACTCCCAAAGGAGAGGAAGGGAGGACGCTAATGAGGATGAGTCGTCCTCCAGTATGTGTCCTTAGATGCAAGGTTTCCTTTTGTTTTTTTAAAGTTCTTTTTGAATCTCCTTTTTTTTCCTATCTTAGCATTGCAGTCTTGTCCATGCCTGCTCAGGAGCAAACCTGGTAAAGTTAAATGAGACTCAGGTGTAAGATTGCAATCTAAACGAAGGTGTAAACTTTTAATGTTGAGGGTGCTGTTCAAGAGGACTAGAACCAAGGAGAACTCGGGCACTCTTGTTTCTTTTGAAATTGAGGTTGTAATTCCTTACTGTCGCTGTGTTTGCTTCTTGAGGAGAAACTAGTGAAGCCTATTGAGAAATCTCGTTGTTCAAGCAAGATGTGTTTTTTATAAGGTTTTGTTCAGACCTTGTGACTTATGCAGTTCCCTTTACTTTACATTCCCTTTGAAGTACATGACCAGGTGGAAAACTGTTCTGTCTAGTTTTGTCTACACAGTTAATTTTTTTTTTATTTGAATTTACTTTACATTCCCTTTGAAGTACATGACTAGGTGGAAAACTCCTTTAAACCACTGTTCTGTCTAGTTCTGTCTACACAGTTGATTTTTTTATTTGAACCCTCAGAGGAGAGATAAAGAGAAACTTGGTGATTTGAGATTCTCTCTGGTGTTACCCATTTCACACCTAAGGTTTATTGTGAGATACTGGGCACCTTGTCAATGAAATTTGCACATTTCCAAGGCTCACAATGTTTTGTGCACACAAAGCTTTGTAGAAGTTTTAAAATCAGGAATGACTAAAACTAGGTGCATGCATACCTTTGGAGAAAAAAAAGTGTGAAAATGTATTCATTAGGAAGAATGAGTATATAAATGCCTTATAGCAAATATGTGTGACTTTCCATGCAAGAAGACTTAAACAAATTCTCAATTGACGTGAACCAAGAATGGGAGGGGTTCACACCTAAGGTTTATTGTGAGATACTGGGCACCTTGTCAATGAAATTTGCACATTTCCAAGGCTCACAATGTTTTGTGCACACAAAGCTTTGTAGAAGTTTTAAAATCAGGAATGACTAAAACTAGGTGCATGCATACCTTTGGAGAAAAAAAAACATGTGTGAAAATGTATTCATTAGGAAGAATTAGTATATAAATGCCTTATAGCAAATATGTGTGACTTTCCATGCAAGAAGACTTAAACAAATTCTCAATTGACATGATCTAAGAATGGGAGGGGGATGTGAATAAATGGAAACTGGAGACAAGCAACACAGTAGAGACTGAGATGACAGCCACATAATAAAAGTTGAGATTGTAATGGATTGAAGTAGCTTCCTTAAGGTAAAGAATGTGACTTGCAACAGGCTTAAAATTGGCTTTAGCGAAGTGAACTGTAACACAAATCAGCAGAAGCCAGACTGGCACAGCATGAGCAAGCTGGTCCCTCCCTGTGGCCAGACCATCCATTGAGACACTCCATGCCACTTTTATTGGGTCAGGCTGAGTAACGTGAATCCATTTCTTTACGTTTGCATCAAGCAACTGGTTCAGGCAGGAGAACATCAGACTCTCTTGGCCCTAAACAAAAGCCTTGTCTATTTCTTTGATAGCAGGGTGGTGGTGGTTTTGGAAAGAGATCCATCCATATAAAAACCAATCACACCAGAGAGAAAAGTGGGGTTGCATCCTTTCTTTGGGCTTTGTTTTCTGTTCGCTGCATATGCAAAAGTGTCCAGGTATTCATCCCTCCCCGTGACATAGCGACACCATCGAGGGAAAGCTTGGTTGCTTGATTTGATGCATGCAACTTGACATTCAGATGGATGAGAGCGTCTCTGAGCTCCTTGCTAAGACCAGCGAACTGCCGCTGCTGACAAAACAAAAGAAAAAGTCAGACGTACTCCACAAAGCCAACAAGTTAAGCGTGCGGATGTATACAATAATGTGCATATGCGTATCATCATCTTAGAACTGCCAAGCTGGAAGGGACCCTCTGGATCATGGAGTCCATTCTCTGTCAAGGAGGCATAGTGGGGGGAATCGAACTCCCCACCTCTGGCTCCACAGCTGGATCTGTAAATCCCTGAGCTGGCCAGCATGCATCGCCAGTGTCCTAAAATGCCGTGGTGCAGCAATGAATGATGTCTGAATGACATCTTTTTGGAATTACTAAAACTACCTCCGGTGGCCTAATTCTGGTGAAATGATGTTTCAGCTGTTGCTGATGCGGCCTCCTCATTATTCCAACATAACTGTTCTTTTGCAAAGTGACAAAGGTGCGATCTATTGCCTCTCGGTGTTGTCGTTTTACCCTGTTGCAGAGTTGCAAAAGCAGGTTGTCTGTTCCAACATCTGTAACAAAAGCAAAACAAGACCCACAAGAAACTAAGGCATGTGACTCTTTTAAGGTGGCTAGAAATAAATGTGTTAATTTCAAGGGACTTTCTTTCATTTTATTTTTGTTATGCAATACTTTGTTTTCTTGTCATACATCAGAGGGGTGAGGCTTTAAAGCATGGCTTTGAAAAACCCTTTGATAAGAATTGGAACTGATCAGCAAACAAAGAAGGCCACTATGCTACATGGGCTTCTTTTGTGGTAGCCGCCTCAAGTATGTTACTAAAATATACATATATTTAGAGAGAAAATGTTTCATTTTTCCAGTTCTCTGTACTTGCTTAACCCCAGAAGGGCTTTAATGATTCACGTTCCAGCTTCAAACGCGAACCTCTGCCCTCTTGTTGGGGAAATCTGGATCTTTTCTGTATTAACTTGCATGTTGTGGCAAACAGCGCACATCTGTTTCAGAGGGAGTGCCTTGTGGGCTCCCCACAGTGCCTGGACAGTTCTGACCCATGGGGGGGGGAGAGGACATGTGCTCAGTTCACCTGTGGCACCTGCTTGGATTGCATCGTCTTATTTCCCCCAGAGCACCGCCTGCATTCACAGAGCTGAACACCAAATGATAAAACAAGCTTTCACAACCCCCCCCCCAGATGTTTGTCTGGCCCTGTGGATTTTGCTATTAACTTAATGAGCTTCTGGAAAATCCTTTGGTTTTCCCTAAAATATCATTTGAAAACAGCCGCTGAGCATTATTGCAGAATAATGTGCTGTCGGTTCTTATACCCTTCTCTCTGACTGTCATAGAGTCATCGTTAGTATCATGTTCTTTAACGTGTGAAATGAATCCAAAGTGCATTGGGAATGCCTGCAGTTCACGTAGAGTGTGGATTTTGGGCTTAACCCTGGAACGTAGGCACTTTGAAAAAAAAGGGAGGCTGGGTTGAAAGCAGGACGCTCTGAAGTGCTGTCCGTAGGTTTCTTTTGAGTGCAGTGTTCACTCAGGTTTTAGCACTCTTGATTTGCTCTAAAATTGGCTTACTATGGTCCTGCTGTTCTAAGCTGCTTTGTGGCCAACTAAAATTAGCTGGGTTTAAACAGAAACAAGGATAACCACTCCGAAAAACAAACAGCTGTGTGGCAGGCTCACGTTCGCGCATCTGTGTCTGTTTGCACACAGATTGTGTGTGTGATGAGAGACACCTTTGGTGACATTCGGAGTGGTCTGAGCCCGTTCCAGTTCACACCAAAGTGGTTTCAAGCGCGCCTCTCTCGAGAGATTGTGTAGATCAGACTCTGAAACTCTCACAGATCAGCTTGCATCTTAACCCGAATGGCAGGGCAGGGCAGCTCTGAATGTTGGGGTCTCTCTTTTTTTTAGGCTTTCTGAATGTTGACACCTTACAGGGGTGTGACGAGGTAGGATGGGCAGGAGGGGATGGTGGGCATTTTCTGTGCCCATCATCCACACGTCCCTCCATGAAAGCAAGATTATGTGTCCTGCATAAACAGAAATCGGTTTTTACGTGTTGTTTCCCTCGGCACCGGAAGAGGTGCTAGTCCTCAATATATTTTGCTAGCTTGGCTGTTTGTAGATGCCTGTTAGCCGTTTCTGCCATCACAGTAGTCGAAAATGAAAGAAAACCAACTGCTTTTTCATTCTTTCCTGTTCCTGTGATGAAAAAAATTATCAAAGGAAGCCAGAAGAGACTTTGCAAGTCTGCCTTATCTCTTTCTCTCTTTCCCCCCTGTCACTCATGGTTCTCTGGAAAGAGATATAAAGAGGGCTGGCTTTGGGACCCTCCCTAACACATCTTCTGCAATGCTTCTCAGATTTCCTACACTTTCATGCAATTCCTTGAGGAACAAAAACTTAATGCTTCTCAGATTTCCTACACTTTCATGCAATTCCTTGAGGAACAAAAACTTTAAAAAAAAAAAGAAAGTAAATTCTCAAGTTGTTGAACGAGGTCTGTAGTCTGTCTGCCATCTTTGTGGTCAATGCATTATGCGGCTGTGAAACAGCCATGCAACACCCATGGACCGACAGCCTGTGATCAGGCTATCTTTGGTTGGATGCCGTTGCTCCCTTCCCTGCCAGGACGTCCCTGGGGGGGGGGCTGTATTTGCACATTCACCTTGTGCATAGATTCTTCATGCCGTGAAATCCAGGTGCACAGCAGTTTTTGCAGGTGCATGGAGTGCCCTGGGAGGGGGAGGGAGGCTGAAATCTGCCAGCCTGGCTTTGGCAAACTGCTGGGAGGGCTCACCTGTTTGC